AAAAAAAAAAAAAAAAAAAAAAAAAAAAAAAAAGAGACGAGAAAAAACTGAAACATACAAAGTACGAATAATAATTAAATCTTTTTCAGCGTTTCCAACTGCTAACGATTTTCCATCAGGACAAACCTCCAACGCTGTTGCCGTACCATCCATTCGACATCCTTTGAACGTCCATTTTCCGGACCGCTTATCCTATACTTCAGTAATGTAATTATAATGATATATGTCCGCTCAACAAAAACAAAAAAAAATTTTCGGCCAGTTTTGCCCTTTTTTCCCCTTCTGTTTGCAAATGTTAAATAAATGTAAAAACATTTAAAACAAAACGGTACTTTTTTTTGCTTAGCTAAATCTTCAAAGCAGAAGGAAAAAAATGTAATGCCGTTTATAAACAGTACAGAAAGGGTTGAAAACTTTGTTCATCTTTCGTTTACAAGTACCAACTCTTTTTTTCTTGTCCAAATTTTTCCGCTCTTAAATTTAAACTTTCGACTGAACTGTTTGATGCGAAAAAAAGCAGCAAAGACAGAAAAAAAAATTGAAATTGGAATTAAAACTGAAACAACTGTTGCACGGAAAACCAAACTGATCTGAACAGTTCGCTGAGCTCTGTATAGTCAACATTGTCCATTGTTTCCTTTTGGCATCCAACAACCTTTTACACCCTTTTCTGCTGCTCCATCGGCAAAATTCATTCACTCGACTGACGTCCGCTTTTTTGATGCCTAAATTTCGACAAGCAACAGACATATGGATGGATGAATGGATGGACGAATGAACGAACAAGCGAACAAATGCGAACAATACCAAAAGCACAACAATACAGGATATTTCTTCAGTTTGAAAAAAAAATCCGGAAATGAAGCCAAAATGAAGCCAAAAAAAAAAAGATTTTAGTTATCCGCTCTTTTGAACCGCAAAAACGTTTGTATTTGTTATCTGTCTTTTTTTTAAAACTTTATTCTACTCTGACCACTTTTTTTCCGCCAAGCAAAGAAACATTTAACGGCCAAATAAAACAATCTTTATTTTTCTTCCTTTTGAAAAACTAGCTGATATCAAAAAACAACAATAAACATTATTAAAACATCAATAAATCAACGCAGAAAAAAATGGAATGAAAGAAAAAAGAAGAAAAAAAACAAAACAAACAAAGTAAGCGGGAAAAAAAAATTTGGTGAAACGACATTTTGTGGGTAAGGAGAAAAAAGGAAGCAAACAAAAAAAAGGGATGAAAAAAGTTTAACTTTCTACGGTTAACTGTCGAAGTCTGTTCTACCGTCGCCGTAAAAACCACGTTTCCATTACCAAACTATTCTCAGTAACTCAAATTTTTCATCCCCCTCTGCGCTCAGTCTCTCAAACTACAGAATCAGGTTCACCATGCCATCTCGTCCCCTCCTGTTCCTTCCTTCACCTGCCTCCCCTACAAATACTGTGCATATACGGCTGTCTGGTATTTGAATAACTGTGCAGAGAATGATCACAGAAATAATGCTGAGAATTTTTTTATTTTCGTTTCTATCGGAAAAGCTGCCAGCCGAATATAGCTGTCAGTTGGTTGCAGTCAAAAAGCAGCAGGAAAATGCTGAACCGATAAGAATGGTAGTGCAGAACAGAACTAAACTTTGCTGATGAAAAACTTCTTTATTTCTAAAACATTATTTTTTGTTTTTGTTTCTCTCTCAGGGTTAATCGAGAAATGAACTGAAAGGACATATATAAGTGGTCAAAAAAAAATATAACGTATTGAGGCGTTAATTAATTGTTTATTTCTTCCACAAACAACGCTTACAAATAGAAGAAGAAAAAGAAAATATAAAA